TTGATCGGGTATTTTGTGTTGTTGCTGGCGGAGCTCCTTTACTGCAGGTCCACCCGATCCACCATCTTGTTTTTCTAGAATGACTATTCTTGATAAGCCTTCATTGTTGTTGCTTTTATTTTTGTTTTAGCTTTTTATTATGAATTGAGTGAAGGTTTACAGAGCAGAAATCATATACTTTGTTTCATTACAATGATTGCAAACCCACCCATGTGCCAAAAATTAACAGTATTTACATCTGTTCACTTTAACTATTGAATTCCTCTCTGCCTCCCACTACTTTCCTCTTTCCTCTGCTAACCTCCCTCTTGTATATTGCCTTCTGTGTTACCCATGTTAACACATGTCTACCCTCTAGTGCATGAATAATTTTCCGTCCCCTAGTAACAATCATAGATTATTTCTTTTATCAGGAAAATCTTTTGTTAACTTTTTACATCATTGATCTTGTATAATTATTTGTCCTTTTGTGAGTCACTAATTTCATTCAGCATAATGTGCTCCAGGTTCATCCATGTCGTGAAGTGTTTCGTAGATTCATCATTAATTCTTCAGTGTGCATAGCATTCCATTGTGTGTAGTATGTACCAAAGTTTGTTTAATCATTCTTCTGCCGATGGGCATTTAGGCTGTCTCCTTCTTTTTGATGTGTCTTTTGTAGACAGCATATTGCAGAATCCTGTTTTCTTACCCATTCTGCTTTCTTTGTCTCTTGATTGGAACATTTAATCTATTTACATTAATATTAATTATCAATAGGTATGAATTGATTGCAGTCATTTTTCTGTGTGTTTTTTTGTGGTTTCACATAATTTACCATGCTGAGTTCACATAATTTATTATGTTCCATATAATTTACTATGTTGAGTTCATTTTGTTTGTTGGTTTTCATTTTTATTTATGTTTTGTTAATGTTTATTAAATCCAATTTTTTTCTCACTTTTTATTTTGATGTGCAGGTGTGTTATTTTTCTTTGAGGTTACCTTGTAATTTTTTCCTTGCTTAAAACAGTCTTTTCTCTCTTGAAATCTACTTGACTTCCGTTCCATTTGGAAGTTCTTTATCTATACTATTCCTTCTTTTTGTTTTGTAGTTGATTTGATTTTACACTGATAACTCAATTTCTCTGTTTTCAGACTTGTAGGTTTGTTTTACTGTAAATACTTCTATGTCTGGATTGAGTTCTGGGTGGTGGTATCATGTAGGGTACTCTCAGGTAGTTTATTATTGTTTCTCAGTTCATAGAACACCCTTGAGCATTTTTTCTTAAGTTGAGATTGTTATTACAAATTTCTTTAATTTCTGTTCATCCAGAAATGTCCTAATTGCAACATTATATTTGAGAGACTGCTTTGCTGGGTATATAATTCTTGGTTGGCAATTTTTTTCTTTCAGAGTCTTTCTTATATATGTTACCCCATTGCCCTCTTGCCTGCATGGTTTCTGCTGAGAAACCAGAGGTTAGTCTTACTGGTTCTCCTTTGTAGATAACTTTTCATTTCTCCTGAGCTGTTCTCATGATTCTTTCTTTGTCTTTGGTTTGAAGAGTTTGGTTATGACCTGTCTTCGTAATTTTCTTTTGGGGTCTGTCCTGTTTGGGGCTTGTTGTCTGTTATCTCCAGGCCATTGTGGTATTATGTTTGTATTTAATTGATGATTATATGTTGGTATATTCTTAGGCTCTCACCAATTGTCTCCTTTGGGTGTAGTTAAAGAGTGAACCTCAGTTTAGGGTGCATTTGGCTGGTGTTGGCTGCTATCATTGATCAGGTGGTACAGGAGCTGCTATTAGCTCTTGCCCAGTGGGTGGAACTACAGAGGTTGCTGTGTGGCTCGGCTGTATAGGCACAGTTGCTGTCTCCTTTTGAGTGGAAAAGAGAACCCCCCCCCCCAAACACACACATATACAAGAAAATAAACAAGGAACCAACATTGAAAAGAGAAAAAAATAAAACAGACAGCAACCCCCCAAAAAAAGAATATGATAACTATAAAGACAAAAGAGGGACAGGAAAATGGAGCTATAGAAGAGAGAAATAAGAGAAATAAAAGAAAGAAAAAATACACTTAAGAATAACTAAAAAAAGAGATGAAGGACAGGAAAATCGAGTTATAGAAAAGAAAAATAAATAAAAACACTTAGAAAAAGCAGGGAGTGGGAAGATGAAAAGAGAAAGCGAGCAATAAGAAAGATCAAAAGGGAAATGAGAAACAGAAGAAAGGAAGGAAAATCAACAGTAGAGATAGAATGGGTAAAGTTCAAGGGAATGGAAAGAGAAGGACGAGGAGGAGAAAGAATAAACAAAAACAATGAAACAAGAAAAAGAAAACTACCAAACCCCAAAACAAAACAAAAAATCTGTTTAGCTGTTGGGTCTAAAGAGGAGAAAACTCTGGGGCCTCCTGCAAGCCAAGGTGTTCATGAGATGGGTTTCACAGCAGAGTTCCTGTCAGCTTCGGTATTATCTATGTTTAAGGCACTCACTCCAGAAGTAGTTCATGGAAGCCCTGATGGAGCTGGTTTCAGTGTCTGTTAGGACCACAGGCAGGATGACTGATTATAATACTGGTCTGGTGCTTCTAAGGGTTCTGTAGGTCTGGAGCAAAGCCCACCTGAATCCACACCAAAGTGGGGCACCAAAGTGGCATAGCTGGCCCCCACCTCACACTGGCATGGATCCCTACCATGTAGCTCTAAACTCCTGGAGTATGCTCTGGGGGTGGATAAGGGTGGGAGCTGACTACAACTCTGGTTACAGGGGACCGTTGGGGGGAAAAGAAGGAATCTACCTTTCCAGTCACATGTGTGAATTTGCTCTGCTAGGCCACCTTCTGTTGCCAAAGCTGCTCACAAAATGGTCACACTGAGTCTGGCCGGCTATTTACCAGTCTGTCTCATTCGCTCAGCTTTTTCTCCCAGTTAGCACTCAGTCCACTTCAGGGTTCCAGGATTTTCATCTGTGTCCATTTCATTGGGTCTCTTATATTCTTGCTATAGGGAATCCATCTAGCGTGTCTGTCTAGTCCACCCTCTAGATGGAAGTCTACTGATAAGCCTTCTTCATATCAAGAATTTTCATTCTTTAAAAAAAAAAGAATTTTCATTCTAGGTTGGGCTTTTCTCTGTTCACCAGGCAGAGATGACCAGCAGATCAGAAAGCCAGTAAATTATTTTTTAATTGAGTTTTAAAATATACTTTATAATCAAATAGATAAAAGTCTGAAAGATACAAAAGGAGATATAATGAAGTCTCCTTTTTCCCTTTGTCTCCTATCTCACCCATTTTTCTTCCCCAGAGGCAACTAGAATGACTAATATTTCTGTATTATCCCAAAATTGATAATGTGCTCTTTAATCTTTGTTACTCATTTTTCTTATCACAAGACAGTTTGTTCCCCAAGTGCTAAAATACCAGGAAAACTCTACTCTTGTGGTCAAGTCATGAAAAACACTAATGTTAAAGAGTTAGGTAATGGCCTAGCGAGCTATTTCATGGACTCAAAGAGTGGCAAAGATATTAGTACCATTTTCACTTTTCCTTATCAAACGAAGGCTTGAATATTGGGAAAGATAGAGCAAAAACAGTGATAGAAAAACTTACATGCCACTCCTTGGGAATAATAAAAACTAATTATTTTCAGAGGCAGAAACCCTTTTAGAGGAATGGAGAATTTTTTTTGAGAATTCCATGATAGTTTCCCAGGAATTAATTATTCACTTCTGTTTTTAAAACCACATTTATTAAATATCAATAGGAACACTGCATTGCTTACTGAATACAAGATTTAAGACTTCTATTTCTTATTTTGCAAAGTACTGCTAAAATGAGTTCACAGGCTGGATAGATTATACTGTTGTTGTTGTTAAGTGTCATCAAGTTGGTTCTGAGTCATAACCACCCTGTATAGTGCTTCTGATGAGTGGCTGGTGAATTTGAGCCTCTGACCTTGCAGTGTAATGCTTATCCTACTGTGCTACACCAGGACTTCAGTATTCTACTGGTTAGACTTTAATAACAGAACACCAAAGCCTGAAACAGAATTGAACACTGAGCACTCTGCTAAGGGCTAGATTAGTTAAATGGCTGTGCCTTACCATTTTCCATATTTTTATGAGTCTCAACAACTTCGCTTACTCCTTTTTTTTCTTTTTTAACTTTTTATTCTGAATTGAGTGAAGGTTTATAGAGCAGATCATCAGCTTTACATTCAACAAATCACATATTTTGCTTCATTACATGGTTGCAATCCCCTCCATGTACCAATAGTTAACAGCATTTACCTCTATTCACTTTAACCACTGCATTCCTCCCTGTGTCTGCCGCCACCCCATCTTTCCTCTGCCAACCTCCCACCGGTTGTATATTGCCTGCCCCATCACCCATGTCAACGCGTGTCTACCCTCTAGCACATGTGTCATTTCTTCCTCCCACCAATGCCATCATAGATTATTTCTTTTATCATGAAAACCTCCCTCTTTTTTTTTTTTTTTTTGGATGTACAAAAAAAACCCAAACAGGAATATATATTGTTTAAACAGCCAAAGGGCACATTCTGGAAGACAGCCGCCCAGCTACCAGTACACAACCTTTCTCTTTCGGTGAGTCTAGAATCCTCAGCTGCATTCTCTCTCCATGCCATCACCTCTACCTCCATCTCTAGTGTTGTTGCTTCTCTGGTTAGGGTCCCACATTCCACTCATGCTTTCTCCCTTGATGGTCCTATGGTCTTCTGTTCCTGGCATGTAAGATTAACTACTCCTACCAGGAGTCCTGGTGTGGCGCTGTGGGTTAATGCGCTAGATTGCAAAGTCAGTTTGAACTGTAAGGTTGGTGGTTCAAGCTCACCAGTTGCTTCTTCGAAACCCTCTAGAGGGTCGCTATGGGTCAGAACCAACTCAACGGCACTTAACAACTACAACAACTTTTTTTTTTACACAACTTCTACCGTTACAATTGGATTTCACTTATTCTTAACCTATTGATCTTTCTTCCAATAGATTCCTATGAGAAGCAACAGCCACAAGACTCTGGTCGGAAAAAATTACTATCTTCTACTATAATTCCACCACTAGAGATAGCAGTGACAGAGGAGCAAAGGAGACTGTTAGGGTTAGTAACATCTGGAGTATGGTAGGTTACCAGTGTGCATTTTCACGATAATTCTTTGAGGTGGAAGCATAACTCTTATTTATTTCTTCATAAAAGGAAACTGAGACCAAGAGAGGTTTTGTGACTTACCCAAGAATACAGTTGTTAAGTGGTTGGTCAGATGCAGGTCTTCTGACTCCACATGGTGTTCCTTCACTAGGCCACAGCTGTTGAATACAGGATAGCATTTCCCTGATAAATTTTTCCAGCATCTGGCTGAGAACACTCTGCCCATTTCTTGGAACAGTCAGTGCCTGTGCTGTGCTGTTTCTGCAGTAATTGCTTCCATTCTTCTTTGTCATGAGGTATTCTGGAGTCTTCATTTTCATTTCCATAATCATCATGGGAAGAATAGTAAGGGGCAAATTATCTAGTGAGTCACAAGATAGGACGTTTTCCCACTTCTGGGCAGCACAAATGATTAAAAATGAAAAGGAGAATTGCCTTTCAATTTATTTCAGGTTTGGGAATATGCTACTGCCAATAAATATGTTTCCCTGGGGCATAATTTATATTAGAGGCACATCCGTTTATTTGCATCCCGTTAATCAGTACTTCTCAGTTCCTGGGGCTGTTAATTACCACCCAGCTTTAATGCTGATTCAAAACATCCTCCTCACTCTTATGGGTGCCAGACTCCTTTAAGTGCCAGCTACATAAAGTTAGCAGATCCTTAGTGAAGAATAGAAACAAGTTGATTTTCCTAATGGAAAAGAAAAAAAAAGAGATTATTATAATTCAGACAGGAAGATTTTATAATAAAGTCCTAAGTAAACTTCCATAAGTGAGAGAAAAAAGCCATACAACTTTTAAAGCCTGTGGCAGCTTTTGAGACACTGTCACGTATTTGGAGCCAGTACTGAAATGTGGATGAAGTATTGCTACTACACTTGAGGTTATCTCCCTAGGTGTTATCATGAGAATCTGGAAGATCTGGGCCTTGAATTTCAATTTCCAGACAGTAGTGATTCTCTGGTCCTTGTGGGAAAAGTACCACTCTGTTTTGTAGAAAGAGAAGCCAGTGAACTTCGAAGAGGAAGATCTACTGTGACCAAGAGTATTGTGGAGGTAAGATTTAGCTGCAGAGGCTGAGGGAATTGCTGTGAATAATGAATGACCTGTTATTTTCTCTATATTCATCTTTCACTCAACAAGCACTTATGAAATGCCTACAGTGTGACACATTTATGAAATGCCTGCTGTGTAGCAGGTGCTAGGTATTGAAAGATCAATTCACTCAAGGTAAGGAAGAAGGACATTAAATAATTACTGTACTGTTGTTAGTAAGCGCTGTCCAATCGGTTCTGTCTGACTCACAGTGACCCTGATTAGAGTTTCTGAGACTATAAATCCTTATGGGATCAGAAAGCCTCATTTTTATGCCACAGGTACCTGGTAGATTCAAACTGCTAACCTTAATTCCTATATACTGTTGTTACTAAGTGCTATTGAGTCGGTTCTGACTCCTATCAACCCTGTACAGGGTGTCCAAGGAACAGCTGGTGGGTTTAAACTTGGGATTTACAGTCCAGTGCTGATCCTACAGCGTAGTAGTGCTATATTCAAAAGTGCTGTGGTAATATAGAGTGGTTATTGTGCCCAGAGTGGGGGCTGCTCAAGGAAACTGTCACAAAAAGCTGAGGGATTTTTTTCAGTCTTAGAGAAGAATAGGAGCCTACCAAGTACAGAAGATGGATGAAGGCGTTCTAGACAGAGAAACCGAGTATCAGAGACTTTAAGGAGATCCTGTACTTAGGGCACGAATCCCTGGTGGCACAACAGTTAAACGCTCAGCTTTCAAGCAGAATGTTGGTGTTAAACACACTACTCTATAGAAGAAAGCTGGGGCCGTCTGCTTCTGTAAAGATGCACAGCCTTAGAAACCCGATGGGACAGTTCTGCTCTGTCATATCAGGAGCTCTGGGAGCATAGTGCTTACCAGTCGGGCTGCTAACCACACGGTCTGCAGTTCGAAACTACCAGCTGTCCCGCAGGAGAAAGATGAAGCTTTCTCTCCTGTAAGGATTCACAGCCTCGGAAGCCCTATGCAGGGTTGCTATGAGTTAGAAACAACTCCATGGCACATAACCACCACCACCACTCTGTCATGTACGTCACTAAGTCACTGTGTGTTGGAATTGACTTGACAGCACCCAGTAACAATGTTTAGGGAATTGGGTCAATAGATACGGCTCCCATTAGAATCATATGGGGTACTGGTAGGACATGACCTGAGATGTTGTTAAGGTCAAATTCCAGAGGAATTTAGCATATTGTGTTAAGTATTTTGTAATATATCCGAATAGACAGCCAGCAATTAATTTTAAACCACCTCAGGACCTTATTTTGTATCACTCCCTTCCCACCTTCCATGCTGAGTCACTTGCTGTAATTATCCAGTAGTCAGTAACTTATCGTCCGTGCTCATTTAGGTCATCAGAAGTGTTTACCGGAGTCTCTGTTCACTACTCCCTCTTGGATCTACTTATTCCTTCTGTGTTCAGTTTTCTTTTTAATGAAGTAAATCGTTAAAATCTTGAATGCTAAAATTTTATAAAATGTCGACAACAAAAATACAAACAATACAATTTAAAAATGGGCAAAGGACACGAACAGACACTTCTCCAAAGAAGACATTCAGGCAGCCAACAAATACATGAAGAGATGCTCACTGCCTTCAAGTCAATTTTGACTCATAGTAACTCTGTACAGCATTTCCGAGGCTATAAATCTTTATGGGAGCAGAAAGCTTCATCTTGCTCCTTCAGAGAGTCTGGTGGATTTGAATTGTTAACCTTGTGGTTAGCAGTCCAGTGTTTATCCTAGGCTGCCTCCACCATTTGAGAGATGCAAATCAAAACAACAGTGGGCTGTCACCTCGTTCCAGCAATGATAGCAGTGATCAATAAAACAAAACAACAAATGCTGGTGAGGGTGTGGGGAGATTGGAGCTATATCATACACTGTTGGTGGGATTATAAAATGGTACAATTACTGTGGAAAATGTATGATGCCTCCTTAAAAAGTTAGGACTAGAGATACTGTATTTCCCCTCTACTTGATATGTATCCTAGAAAACTAAGAGCTCTGACACAAATAGCTATGTACACACCCATATTCATTATAGTGTTGTTCACAATAGCAAAAAGATAGCAACAAACTAAGTGCCTATCAACAGATAGATAAACTCTGATATGTACACACAATGGAATACTACACAAAGCTAAAGAATAATGATGAATCTATAAAGTAGCTCAAAACATGGATGAATGAGGACAGGATACTGAGTGAACTAATCACAAAAAGATAAACAGTGCATGAGATTACTATTACAAAACATCAAGAAAAGGTTTACACACAGAAAGAAACATTCTTTAATGATTGCCAGGGATAGGAGGGGAAGGAGAGAATGTCATTAGTTAGATAGTAAAACCTCAAACCAAACCCACTGCCATGGAGTCTGTTCTGACTCATAGTGACCCTGTATAGGGTTTCTGAGGTTGTACATCTTTACAGAGAAGAAAGCATCCTTTTTCTCCCATGGAGCAGCTGGTGGGTTTGAACTGCTGACCTTGTGATTAGCAGCAGCTCAGTGCTTATCCGACAGTGCCACCAGTCGACATGTATTAACTTGGGTGAAGGGAACGGCAATATACAATAATGGGGAGGTCAGCATAACATGACCAAGGCAAAGGAAGATACTGGGAGTTTATGTAAAAGGCAACAATGGTAAATACTATTGCATTCCCAATCCTTTAGTATCAGTAATGTTGTTGTTAAGTGCCCTTTGAGTCAGTTCCGTCCCATAGTGACCCTGTATAGGGTTCCCGAGGAGCGGCTGCTGAACTTGAACCACCGACCTTGTGGTTCAAACCAGCTGTGCAGTCTAGTGCATTAACCCACAGCGCCACACCAGGACCCGCAGTATCAGTAATAGCAAACAATAATAGATGAGTGAAAACATAGGTAGATGTATAAAGTGAACAGGTGTGGATGGTGTATGGGAGTATATTCATGAGCACATATAGCTGGATAGAGGAGATTTCTACATATGTATTTGCATGTGCTGCACATATATCCAGTTAGATAGTAGAGCATACAGCTGGCAAGGCAGCCATTCGCACAGAACAAGGGGCTACTGAGTGGTTTTAAATCCTTTCACCATATTTACTCAATCTGTATGCTGAACATATAATTTGAGAAGTTGGCCTCAGGACTGGAGGAAGGCTTATTAGCAACCTGCCATATGCAGATGACACTTTGCTTGCTGAAAGCAAAGAGGTCCTGAAGCACTTACTAATACAGCCTTCAGTGTGCATGGAGTACACCTTAATGTAAAGACAACAAAAATTGTCACAACTGGACCAGTAACATCATGATAATCAGAAAAGATTGAAATTGTCAAGGATTTCTTTTTACTTGGATCCACAATAAATGCCCATAGAAGCAGCAGTCAAGAAATCAAATTACATAACTGCATTAGACAAATCTGCTACAAAAGACCTCTTTAAAGTGTTAAAGAGCAAAGATGTCACTTTGAGGATTAAGGTACTTCTGACCTGAGCCATGGTGTTTTTAGTTACCTCATATAACTATTGAAAGTGGAATAGGGAATAAGGAAGACCAAAGAAGAATTGATGCATAGTTTGTATTATAGTGTTGGTAAAGAACATTGAAAATACCATGATCACCAGAAGAAAAATCTGTCTTGTAAAAGCTCCAGCTGGAAGCTCCTTTGAAGTGAAAATGGCAAGACTTTAGCTCACTTTGGACATGTTATCAGAAGGAACCAGTCCCTGAAGAAACACATCATGCTTGATAAAGTAGAGGAGCAGTAAAAAAGGGGAAGACCCGTAATGAGATGGATTGACACAGTGGTGACACCACCTGGCTCAAACAGGAAGGGTTGTGAGAATGGCTCGGGACCAGACAGTGTTTCATTATGTTGTACATAGGGTCACTATGAGTCAGAACCGACCTGATGGCCAATAATAATAATTATAACAAAAATAAGGCAAAGTTATGCAAACTTCTTAGCCAGAATCAAATGCCATGAGGGACTGAGTTGCTGGACTTGAGAGCATAGGACCATAATCAAAGGAAATTTAGGTCAATTGGCATAACACAGTTCATAAAGACAGTGTCTTACATAATACTTTGGTGATCTAGGATCTTAAATGCTTCTGAGTAGCCATCTAAGATACAACTATTGGTCTCTTCCCATCCGGAGCAAAGAAGGATGAAGAAAATCAAAGACTGAAGTAAACAATTAATCCAAATGACTAATGGACCACACAAACCACAGCTTCCACTTGCCTGAGACCAAAAGAATTAGATGGCATCCAGCTACTACTACCAACCACTCTGATCAGAATCACAATCAGAGGGCCTAGACAGAGGGGGACAAAAATGTAGAACAAAATTCAAAATCATAAAAGGGACCAGACTGATCTGGACTGGTGAAAACCCCAAGACTATGTTCCTCAGCCCCCTTCAGTCCTGGAACCTAACCTGCTCTCGTACATCATCTTTCAACCAAACGGTAAACAGGCCTATAAAGAAAACACCTAGAAGAACATGCTCCTCAGAACTATCACTGATAGGAGATCAAAGTTCAGAAGCCAAGATAGTGCAGGAATGATGGGTGACTGGAAATAAGGAACCCAGGCAGGAAGAGTGCTATTACATTGAGGGGGTTGCGGCTAATGTCACAAAACAAAATGCACATAGATTGTTGAATGGAAAATTAATTGGCTCTGTAAACTGTCACCTGTGTAACACTAAAATGTTTTGTTGTTTTTTAAAAAAAAGAGACCATGAATGATACACCCTCTTAGAAAATACCTTTTATCTTCATATTTGCATGATTGCATACTTAAAAATAGAATTCTTCATTGTTACTTAGGAGTACTGGTGGCTCTGTAGGATAAGCATTGGACTGTTAATCGCAAATTCGGCAGTTCTCCACCAGCTACTCCACAGGAGAAAGTTGAGGCTTTCAGCTCACATAAAGATTTACCGCTCCAGAAAGAAACCTAATACAGGGTTGCTATGAGTCAGAACCAACT